AAAAAAAAAAAAAAGTCAGCAACAAATATCCAATTATCGAATAAGGAAAAACCAATACAACGCCCGTGTATGCTTGCTAATTGTTTTCTTAAAATCTAAAATTAATAAGTTAAAGGGTTATTAAAAGATTATATTAGTACAACTGATATTAAAATACCTAAGTTAGCTAAATAATATTTATGAAATGTTCAAACCTAAATTATTAATTATTAATATATCAATATTATATGTCCAAACTTAATTTCGAAGCATGATTCTTCGCTAAGTAGGATTCCCAATCAAACAGTCACATAATCTCTTCGCTAAGTAGGATTCCCAATCAAGCAGTCACATGATCTCAACGCATTCGGAAATTATATAGGGATACGGATAATAAATCAAAACAAACCATCGTTGCCTTTGGTAATTACGTCGAAGTTTGTGCTGACCCAAAACGAAAACTACTCGCTCAGTATTTATTCAATAAAAATTCTCGATTTCGGTTCGCAACTCTGGACAAAAATTCGAACCCATATCGACTATTCACGTTATCTTTTGCAAATCCAGATTCAGAAGTATGAGCATAGGGGATTTCATCGGCATTCAGCCCTCAGAACTAAAGTTCCCTTGTAAGCTTGTTTTTTTCTGTAGATTTTATAATCTCGCTTGTTTTCCGATGGCGATGAAAGAAGCGAAAAGGGCACAGAGGATTGGGTTTTAGTTTGTTGTGTTTTTGTTTTTAAGCTGCTTTAAAAAACACTCTTACTGGTTCATATTTTGTGTTTCTCCTTTAGTTTTCATGAACCAAGATTGGATTTTTACACTCTTACCGGACTAAAATGTTGTTTGTTTATATTGTAAATGTCATTATTTATGTATTATTCGGTGCCCCTTTTGTTTTTATGTGAGCTGTCTGCAGTTGAATTGAAGAAACAGAGTTCGTGTTATATGCAGTTGTCAAACAAAACAGATCAGTATATTGCATTTAAGGTAATAATCCTTCTAAAAAAAAATCGTATCTTGTCAATTTAATGCTCAAATAACTAAATTCTCATTTCTTTTTTTACTGGAAAATAAAGGTGAAAACAACCAACCCCAAGAAGTACTGCGTAGGACCTAATGCCGGTGTTGTTCTGCCCAACTCTGCGTGCAATGTCAGAGGTGAAGCTTTCTCTTTGTTTCAAATTTGGTTTTGTAATTTTCATTTTTTTTTTTATTGCCTCTGTTAAAACTTGAATATTTGATTGTTTTAATTTATTCTCACCGGCATTTTTGTTTTGTGGGTGGTTGTTTACTTGTTTGGTAGTTACTTTGCAAGCCCAGGAGGAGGCTCCTCTTGATATGCAGTGTAGGGATAAGTTTCTTGTTCAGAGTGTGGTTGCTCCACAAGGCGCATCTAGTAAAGATGTCACTCAAGAAATGGTCGGTTTTTTGAGTTTTTCCTTGAAATGTTATTTGTAGTGTATTAGGAAACTTGATGCTTATGTTCGAATTGGTGTTTTGTTTTTTTCTTACCTTTCGGTGTTAATGAAGTTTACACGGGAAGATGGGAAGATAGTTGATGAGTTTAGGTTAAGGGTGGTTTATATTCCGGCCAATCCCCCGTCACCTGTGCCCGAAGGAGAGGAAGAAGCGACTTCCCCCGAGACATCTTTGGCTGAGGATGAGATCAGGAAGCCCGTTTTGTCTGAGGTTTTTTTGAGTATTATGTTGTTTCTTTCGGTTCCTTTTAATTTTATTTGTACGTAGTTTTGGTCAAAATGTTAACTTTGGGCCATTTGTATATGCAGGTCACGAAATCACTAAAGCAATCGGTGGGAAATTCATCCTCTGAGGTAATCGATCCCTCTTTGTACATACGCACTGCACACATGCGCACAATATTTACACAATATTTAGAACAAAAATGAAAAATGAAAGAAGAGAAAAGTAGTAAAAATGTTTGCGAATTGCTTATGATATTATCTTTGATATATTGATACATTTCTTGTTTGATCTCGTTTGGTCGTCTCTTGGACGTTCTGTCATATATCCCAAAGTAATGTACTAAAGGAAGAATAGTTCAGTTAGCAGTTGAGTATCTTATGCAAAAA